GCAGTGAGACCTCTCCTTACATCTGTGAATGCCACCCTCAAATCGGGGAGTGAGGGAGGTTTACCACGGGGATGAGGGACCCTGACCCCCACAGGTGTGTGCGCTGGGCCTGTGCTCAGGGACCTGGGTCAGCGCTCAGCCAAGGTGTCTACATGGCCTGTGCCCGAATCACAGTGCATCCTTCTCATGCGGCCAGTGGGGCCCCTCTCTGTTTTCACTTCCCTCAGGATCCATAGTTCCTGGGTGTCCCTGTCCCCAGAGCCCACAGAAAGTGTCACACACAGGAGGCACAACGTGGCTGCACCCAGATCCCTGATGTGATGGGACATCTGCTGCTGGGAAGGGTGACCTGTGACCCGGTTGGAAGTGTACAAGTGTGGCCGTGGCTGTCAGCCTGTGTGCATTCTGACCCCACAGAAAGCAACCACGTTTCTCGAATGCACACCGAGTCCTCACTGCCCTCTGCTATGGAGGGAGCGGGTGCTCTGTCTGCGGCCAATCCCATGCGAGTGGCTTTGCCTCAGGTACCGAGAGTCCCAGGTGTGTGGTCAAGGCTAAGAAGAAACTCTACCTAATAGTCCTGGCAGAGGTTCCAGGAAAAGTCCCCTTTCTGGAGACTGCTCACCCCCTGGCACCTGCCACGTAAAGGCGAGGCTGCTGCACAAATCACAGAAGCCTCGAGTGTGGAAAAAACGGGTGATGCAGCAATCACAGCCGGGCTCTGGCTCTGGGCACAGGCCACGAGAAAGGGGACTTCGCAGTGTGGTGAGGGGTGGGCGGTCCCTGGTGCAGGACCCACCGTGCGCAGAGCCAGCAGGGAGCTGTGCAGGATACAGGTACGGGGCCCTTCAAACGTCTGGCAGCATGGCCAGGAAAGCAAGCAGGGCCAGGCCACAGGGCAGGCTGACCTGGCAGACACTGGGTGCTCCCACCCCAGGGACCCTGTGCAGCCATCTGGCGAGGAGGGCAGGAGCACTGTTGTTCCCTGACCCGAGGGCTCAGAAGAGTCCCTCCGCCCATCCGCCCACCCACACTTCACGGGCTGGTCCCACCTCAGCCCTAACTCCCCAGCAGGGGCGCAGCTGACAGCCAAGGCCAGGCCTGAGCGGAGAAGCCGGGGCCTGGACTGCTTAGGGAGCAGCTTACCAGCACGTGTCCCGAGAGCGAGGCCGCGTTGGCCACTGATGTGGTGAAGACGTTGTCTGCCGAGGCGCCCACGTTGGCCACAGTCACGGTGGTCACCTCTGCAACACAGGAGCCTGACTCAGCGCACATCAGAGCCAGAGGCCCCCGCGGCTCCACAGCGCTCCCAACGCAGGGTCTGTGCCTCCAGCACTGTCCCACAGAGGCCTGGTCGACATTTCTGCACCACGGTCCGAATGGTCCACTTCTTCCAGGAAAGAGAGCATCCTGCCTCCAGGAGAGCCGTCTGCTGCAGTGAAAAGCCATGGAGAGCCCTGCTCTCTGCACCCGCTGGGCCCCTGGCTTCGGTCCCCTTTTAGGAGGAAACCATACACACCCTGCAGCAGACGCCCACCAGACACACAGAGCCAACTACACAAGCTCCTGCTCAGTCCTGCCCTCCTTTCCAGGTGAGGACGCCTCCTGGTTCCCTCCCTCCGGGCCCTGCCTCCCCCCTTCACTTCCATGCACACCATCGGGTGACCTGCCTGTGTCCCCGAGTCCCCGCAGCATCCACACACAGGTGTGCTGCACCCCACCTCCCCAACGCTTCCCCTCCCACCTCTCAGCCACCTGTCCCCCCCAAGCCTTCCCTCACCCAGGCACTGCCTGCTCTCGATGCCCACGCCATTGGCTCAGGCACCACCTCTGGAGACGCCTCCACCAAGGAGGGCAGCCCCTCGGCCAGGCAGCCACCCCCTTAGGTCACAGCATCCACAGGGTCCCTGTCCAGGGCTCTCGCACGTGAGAGGTGCTCTAACAATGCCTCCTGAAAGACCTCTGCACATTCTCTTAACCCACCTGCCCTGGAAACACCTGTCTCCGTCTGTGTCCATGACCAGACCACCTGCCACTGTCCCACAGAGCCTGCGTGCAGAGGGGACCCTGTCTAACACACGCTCAAGTCTGAAGACCACAGGGGCGGCCTCCTGCCCACGGAGGCGGCCTCAGAGGGCACATGGAAACTACCGAACTGCAGTCACTCGGAACAGGAGGTTTTACTGCTTCAACATGCACAAAACACAACTATAAACATTTGCAGAAAAAATGACGTCAATACACCTTTCTGATGTCACGATCGACGACGTCACCTTTCTGCACTCAGAAAAACGTGCAAAAAGGAACAAAACCTGAAAGAAAACTTCATGGTGCAAAATTCCAGTGTTAACCCAGAGTTTAGCAATGAAAACTGAACCCTTCCAGAGCCACGAAGCCTCCCAACGGACCACACGCAGACCACAGGCGCTGGGCCCCCACTCACCCCCTAAGGTGCTCAATGAACACCTCAGTGAACACACAGCCGACTTACCCTCGTGCGCACACACGGGACCACACACGCCAGGGACCACTGGCACTGGGGCCCCAGACATGAACCACACACGTTGGGACCACACACCTGTAGCACACACACGGGGACCACACACGCTGGGACTGGGAGGCTGCTGTCCAATTCTGAAACCGAGCAGCTCCCTAAGGAGACAGGGCCTCAGGTGTGACACCACCAGACGCTCTCGGAGGCTCAGGCACTCGGCTCCGATCCTGCAGGAGCCTCCAGTGGAGAAGGAGTACAAATACACCCTTGGGAAAGTCTCTGCCTTCTTTGGGGCACGGTCTGGGACTACCTCTAAAAGACTCTGTGGCCACTACCTGACCTCCATCAGCCACAAAACTTGAGAATAAGAATGTCCTACGTGTCAAGAAACAAAACGTGGGCCACCAGCCTGTGCCAGCCTTCCCCTGGGAAGAGCACTTGGTGAGCATGCCATCAGGAGAAGGGAAAACCCATGAAGGAAAAGCGGGGACAGGTGGAGGACAGGCAGGCAGCTGGCTTCTGGTGTCACTGCCCCAGAAATCCGCCAGCCTTCCCCGGCTGGGTAACCACAGTCTTGCTCCCCAGCCCTCAGGTCACACCGGGTCTGGCCCGTAGAATTCAGGATAACCAGACATGCCCGCCCTCAGGCTCCTCTAGGACAGGACCCCTGGCTGCCCCCCACCCCATCGGGCCACATGCGCTCAGGACAGACAGACAAGTCAGGCAGGGCAAGGGGCAGGAGCTGAGAAGGTTCCGGAAAGCACACAGAGTGCTGAACGGGAGGGGGTGGACTGGCACAAGGAAAAGGGGTCCAGGGAGCAGAGGTGCATGCAGGGCAGGTGTGCAGGAATGACAGGGCACACAGGTAGGTGTGAGGCAGGAGCTCCCGGAGGTGGTGTGGGCTGGTCGGGTGCTTGTGCAGCCTAGTGCATGTGGGGGGACTGATGCTTAGGGCAGGTGTGTGGGGCAGGTGTGGGCTGGTCCTTCCAGGTGTATGCTTGGCAGGTGCAGGGTGAGTAGGGGGGAGGGTGAGCACAGGGCAGGTGCGGCCTGGTATCCCAGAGCAGGTGCATGGCAGGTGTGGAGACAGGTGCGAGGTGGCTGTGCGGGTG